GCTTTTAAGTCCCGCCTAAAGACTCACCTCTTTTCCCTCGCTTACCAGTCAGTCTGAGCTATGTCATACCTATTTGTATGCCTTTACTGTCTGTCCATAGCCTTTATGTGCCTTGTATTTATTCTTATGTGTGCTTTTTATCTATTCGTGTAATATTATATTTTATTATAATGTTGTTCATTGTGAAGCACTTTGGCAAACCCTATGTTTTTAAACTGTGCTATATAAATAAAGTGGATTGGATTGGATATTGACATGTAGGAGCCTTATTGTAACCTTTTTAATATAATTTTTTGTAAGTTTCAATTGCTTGGTTTTCGTGAAATTAGCCTGTTTTCCTCTTAACGTGTAACAGATTGATGCATCTCCACAGATCATCTTAAAGGCTTCGGAATCCCCCAATTGTAGTTAAAAAAACTAGGGCCCCCAAACAGCATCTTGCATAGGGCCCCCAAAAAGCTAGAAACAGCCCTGAACGTCATCAGCTAAATCCGTAGACTCTTGGCAAACAGAGGGTCTCTGTTAGCTGTCCACTGTTCCTTAGACTAGGATTGGATATGCAATATATTACAAGAATGGAAAGCTTGAAAGTGTCACAACAAAATGACATGGAGTGGGCGGAGCCTAACAAGCAGTCAGTCTATTTAAAACAAAAAGTTTTATAATAGTTATTTTTCATTAATTATCATCAGTAATAAATGTCATCACAATGCAATTTCCAGCATTTCTATCATCATAACCATCATCCCATCGCCATCATCATCATGTTGTCATCACCCTTTTCATATTGTCCCCATCATCATCATCATCATCATCATCATCATCATCATCATCATCATCATCATCATCATCATCATCATCATCATCATCGTCGTCGTCGTCATCATCATCATCATCATCATCATCACCACCACCACCACCATGTCCTGTCCCATCCTCCATGTCTCCCCACTTCCTGTTTCACCATCATCAGCAAGGTAATTCTTCAACACATCATTTTAACTTCCAAACGCAGAAAAGCTCTAAAGCCATTTTCTAGTATTTCCTATCACATGGATCCACAGTCACAAAGAATTGGTCCTCATTTGGTGATGGGGGGGGGGGGAGGGGATAAGAGGGAATGTGAATCTCTCTCTCAAGGATTGATTGCTTCCCTCTTGTTCTCCCCATCCTTCTTTACACCTCTTATCGACATTTGACTGTATTATAGATGATTTGGATTGAATAAAAGAACCCCTGACAATAAATGGTTTACTTAATAAAAATTGGATTTCTGTTTTCTATAAAAAGGACAACAGCTGCACATTTTATCCTATTAATTATAATTGACGACAGATGAAGCCAGTTAGGGATGGGAAAAGGGTAAAGAAGTTTGTTAAATTCAGGAAATATAAAATACTGCTATTATACCGTCTTCATTGTTAGACTCCAGCGCTATCATGACACTGTGATTCAGTTATGTTACTGTATCTAAGTTAAAGGATTTGGATAGCAATAGAGTGGTGCAGGAATGAGTCCTTAAACCTGGAAATTAGTTAGCATTTTACCACTTCTGGTTCACTCATCTCAAATTAAAATGTTTTCGAACACCTTTTTGGTTAGATCCCTTAAATAAGGTCTGTGGTTAACACAAGCCTAAGATATTACATTACATTGCATTTAGCTGACTCTTTTATCCAAAACGACTTACAATAAGTGCGTTCGACCAACAAAATACAAACTTGAAGAAAACAGAATCATATAAGTACATCAGGTTTCATAGAGCTAAAACATTTCAAGTGCTAGTCAACTGGCTTTAGATAAGCCAGTCCTTTATTAGTATATAAGTACTTTGTTAATAGTTCTATCGCTCGAAGTGGAGTCGAAAGAGATGAGTTTTCAGTCTGCGCCGGAAGGTGTGTAAGCTTTCTGCTGTCCTGATGTCAATGGGGAGCTCATTCCACCATTTCGGAGCCAGGATATCAAACCCACGTGTTTTTGCTGATGGGAACTTGGGTCCCCCTCGCAGTGCAGGTGCAGCGAGCTGTTTGGCTGATGCAGAGCGGAGTGCACGTGCTGGGTTGTACGGTTTAACCATGTCCTGGATGTAGGAACGGCCAGATCCATTCGCAGCATGGTACGCAAGTACCAGTGTCTTGACGTGGATTCTAGCAGTTAGTGGAAGCCAGTGAAGCGAGCGGAGGAGCGGTGTGGTGTGGGAACATTTTGGAAGGTTGAAGACCAGAGGAGCAGCTGCATTCTGGATGAGCTGCAGAGGTCGGATGGCACATGCAGGTAGACCAGCCAGGAGGGAGTTGCAGTAGTCTAGGCGTGAGATGACAAGAGTCTGGACCAGAACCTGCGTCGCTTTCTGGGTCAGCTGGGGACGTATCCTCCTGATGTTGTAAAGCGTGTATCTGCAGCAACGGGTTGTAGCAGCGATGTTTGCAGTGAAGGACAGTTTGTTATCTAGGATCACACCCAGATTCCTTGCAGTCTGAGTCGGGGAAACAATAGAGGTGCCGATGTTGATTGTTAGGTCAAGAGTGGGACAATCTTTTCCCGGAAGGAAAAGCAGTTCAGTCTTGTCAAGGTTGAGCTTGAGGTGGTGAGCACACATCCACTGAGAGAGGTCAGCTAGACAAGCAGAGATGCGTGCGACGACCTGGGTCTCTGAGCGGGGAAAGGACAGAATTAATTGGGTGTCGTCAGCGTAGCAGTGGTATGAAAAACCATGCGGGCTAATGACTGATCCGAGCGAGTGTGTGTACAAGGAGAAGAGGAGGGGACCAAGAACAGATCCCTGAGGGACCCCTGTAGTTAATTGACAAGGTTCGGACTCCGACCCTCTCCAAGTAACCCTGTAGGTACGGTCTTTCAGGTATGAGGTGAGGAGGGAAAGTGCCGTGCCTGAAACTCCAAGTTCTTGGAGAGTGCGAAGGAGGATCTGATGATTCACCGTGTCGAATGCAGCAGACAGGTCCAAAAGGATGATGACAGAGGAGAGGGAGGCTGCTTTAGCCATGTGCAGTTCCTCAGTGACAGCAATGAGAGCAGTTTCTGTGGAGTGACCTGCCTTGAAACCAGACTGGTGCGGATCCAGAAGGTTGTTCTGATGGAGATAACAGGAGAGTTGTTTAAAGACAGCGCGTTCAAGTGTTTTAGACAGGAACGGGAGGAGAGAGACAGGCCTGTAGTTTATAACATCAGACGGGTTGAGAGTGGGTTTCTTTAGGAGAGGGTTTACTCTTGCCTCCTTGAGACTGTTTGGAAAGTGACCAGAAGTTAGAGAAGTGTTGATTAAATGGGTGAGAAACGGTAGAATATCAGGAGCGATAGTTTGAAGGAGGTTTGAAGGGATAGGGTCCAGAGGACAGGTGGTAGGACGGGCAGAGGTAATGAGGGTAAGAACCTCACTTGGAGAGAGAGGGGAGAAGGAGGTTAGTGTGTGGGTGAAGGGAGGGTCTGGTGACCCAGCGGTGAGTAAAGGTGAGTCAGAAAAAGAAGAGCGAATATCATCAACCTTTTTTTCAAAGTGGTTAACAAAGTCTCTTGACAGAAGGGAGGAGGGGGAAGGGGCTTTGGGGGGGTCCAAGAGGGTGGAGAAGAAAAGAAAAATAGTTTTTTTGGGATTGGAATAGGAAGATTGGATCTTATCTTGAAAGAAAGTGCTTTTTGCCTGAGAGATCGAAGCAGAGAAAGAGGAGAGGAGAGCCTGATAGGTTAGGAGGTCGTCATGGTGTTCTTTTGGGTTGGGGGTGTGGTGGTCAATATAATAACGTAACCAGATGAGTGATTACAGCACCCGGTATCATTTTACACACATTTGTATCATACAGATGCAGGACTTACACACGCCTGTTATCTAACTGACAGGTCCGCACGCACTCTCCAGCCGAAACTCTAATAAGCATTCATTCACAAACTAAATCAGGAGACCTTTAACGTTTTACGTCCGATTCGCTCCTTTTTTCCTCGCTGTACACAGCTCCAGTTTGGGCATTGGCCTGTCATCAGATGTATTTGTTGTTGCTGCTGTAGCGGAAGTTTAGTACAATTATTTTTTATTAAATACTCAAAATCTCCACCCTCCATAATTGCACTTGCTTCAGTTGCTTGCTACTTTCTAACGGCGGTGAGAGTGGTGCAGTGACGCTATCTATCTTCTATCGATTAGATTTATGATTCGAAAATTATAAAAGTAGGGTAGACATGTGGATATTATCCAACTGAACAAAACGTGCATTTATCAAACAGGTTCGTTTTCCACTGACCTTATTTCGAGCTATTTTCCAAAATCCTATGGAGAAATCCCATTGCTTTTTTGTCGAGGGAAACCGAGCGCAGCTTACTTCCGGGTTTTAGGATGCGTCACTGCAACACTAAATTGATGCGATTTGATTGGATTGTGAGGCAAGGGAAGCCAGCCGCCTCTGGCTTCCCTTGGCATGGCCCTGACTAATCACAGGTTGGCAGGGGCATCACGTGAGCCTTGTCTGATTGGTCAATCCCTCCATTTTTTACACAAAGGGAAGCCAATTTCGGCTGGCCTCCTCTCGCAACAGAGAGTGCAATCTACTGTTTCACCATAACATCTAGAGGGGCGCTGTTTAACTCTTTGTAAAATATTCAATGAGAACAGGGGAGAGACGGGCCGGCAGCAACACACAACAAAGAATTTCCGAAACTAAACGGAGTGTTTTTATTTATTCAAATTATAACTACAATCAGAAAAAACAGGGGAAGCCTGGCTTCCCTTGGCCTCCAGGAGAAAACGCCACTGGAAGGATGGTTCTATTAGCACGCAGTGCGTCATTCTATACGTCAGTAAATACCTCACTCGTGAATGGCTGAAGCTTCTATTTGTCATATAAAAAGGGCTGCTAACAAGTCTCTAAAAGAGACTAAATCACAAAAAAAAATTCTAAACCTAACCCTAACATTAGCGTTTTACTTCTGACCTTTTTTGGGAACAAAAAATGAACCTTTTCTCTGATGAATGAAAATTCTCTTTCCTGCAGAGGAGTCCGTGAGCAGCCGTCCAGCCTGGGATCTCCCCACCGTCCCTGAGTCGCTGCTGTCCACAGTGGGCGACCACGACGTCACACTTCCTTCCAACATCACCAGCCCCTTCTCCACCCACCAGTGGAACACCACCACTCCGGCGCACACCCGAAACACCTCACGGCTGACGACCACATCAACTAGCATCATAACCACATCTTTACCACCAACAACTACCACCTCAACTCTACCGTCATCCACCACAGCACAAACACCAAGGGCACAGACTGAAACCACCAGCCAGGACACTGTGACCAACGAGAGTCTCCAGCTGACCACAGTAACCACGACGACGCCCTCAATGACCACTATTACTGTGACCACCGCTGAGGTGATGACGACAATGGCGCCAACCACTGGGAGCGCACCAACAGAATCACCAAATACAACCGCCACTACAACCACGCAGCAAACCATAAGCCTCAAACCCACCACAGTGACTACAACCGAGCCTACAACCACCACGACAACCACACCTGCCCCCCCCACCACCACTACTACTACTTCAACGGTCGCCCCAACTACTATCACCACCACCACTACTACCAACACCCCTCCTCCAACCACGACCACTACTCCTGCACCTACTACTACTGTCGCCACTACAACGTCTACTACTACCACTACAACTACAACCACAACCACAGAGGTTCCCACCACCACTGTGTTCATCCCAATCGAGACCACACCCCCTCCAACCACGACCACTGAACCCCCGTCCAGCACCAGTCCAGAAGAAAGTCCACTTCCATGCAACGTGACGGAGAAATACTGGGTCAGAACAGGTAGGTGTCTATGATAAACAGCAAGTAGAACACTAGACTTGTGAGGCAATAAATATCAGTTAAATATTTGTTAGATGAATGCCTAAAATCTAAAGCTAGGGCAGGTAGTTTTTACCTACAATGTTCTTAACGTTACAGTATGTAAGGGCATGCTGGTGTAATTTTGATGGAAAATGTTATTTAAAGCAATGATACAGGGATTTCAGAAGCGAAGGCACAAAGCAGCTATTATATAGATGTAATTACATGCAAATTCATTAAAACCAAAGCAAGGGGCAGATCTTCCTCGGACATAAACACTTCTATAAATATGAGGCTGGAGATTGTTCACTTTATTACACAGAGAGATGGGTTGATACTACTGTACTAACGACTTCACTAAGGTTGGCAATAGATGCAAAATTGCAACATTTAACCAACAGACAAGCTCCTGATTCCCTATTGTCGATGTAAGATTTGTCACAGAATATGAACACGCAAAATATCAACACGTATAAAGCTTACATTTCTTTTGTAATTTCTTCCTCCACAGTTCTCTCCATTGAGCTGCGTAGGAACCGCCTGGATCTGATCCTGAAACAGAATCTCTCTAAAGGACTGAGCCACGCCCTGCAGAGAGCGCTGAATGACTCCACAGCCTACGCCCAGGTAAGTGTCTTACAGGCTTAGATATAGTAACTACAAACCAGTTTTTTTTATGTAACTAATGTCTTTTTTAGCCAGATCCACAGCCTCTTCCTAAGACGAACCCAGCACTTTTGTTGCCTTAAACTTATCAAGTAGTTTTGTTGCGTTGAATGGAGTATGAAGCCAAAACGGCCTGACTCCTTGGCCTGAGACCAAAATGCCCGGATCTTCCCTAGATCTTCCTGCAATACTCCGCATCCACAGGGCCTATAAAGCATGCACACTCACGTTTTCCTTATGCCCCACCTTCAATCTGCTCCGTGACGGCCGGTCTTGACTCGCTCAAGAGGTTACATAATTCAAAATTCAGCTATTTTCACGATTTCTAGACCCTTATGATTTAGATTAGGACTATTCAAATGTTCCATCTATGAAGTTGGTTTCCCTAAATAAAAAATGTCAGATGATTTACAGACGTGGCTTTCCCAATGTAAGTCAATGGGAAAACATATTTTTGGGCCCAATGGCATCACATGACTGACTTGACAGTTGAAGTACAACATTTTGGCCTAACAAAAATAGCTTTAACGTCCAACTTCCTTGTGTCCTGTTCTCGCAAAGGTAAATGTGGAAAAGACACAATGTAGGAGAAAAGCACCATCCCTTACAGGTTTGAAACAGAAGCTACAGATGTACCTATTTAAAGCTAACAAAGCCGCAGTTTTCGACGAGGTTGGGAGATAAAATGTGTTTGACCACTAAGCACATCTTACATGCAGTTATTTGTGTATAGAAAGTATAGAGTTGACTGATCAAGATCACTCACTTCCTACTCCAACAGGTCTTTATGCTCTTGGTGTAAATTAAATGATCACCGGGGTCCACCCGCTTCTCTAAACTCAGTAAAGTGCTTTCCTTTCTGATGATAATAAGAAAATCTAATCTTTAAAGTGGACCTATCATGCAAAATGCACTTTTGTAAGTCTTTTATACATGAATATGTGTCCCCGGTGTTCCAGGGAACTCACCAAGTGTCAGAAAATACATCCCTCCATACCCAAATCTTTTAAAAATGGGGCTACAACGAGCGGATACAGATTCCATCCGACCCAACGTCAGCCCGAAATAGTGGGCGGTAACGCTCCGCCTATCAGGGGAATGAGAGGTTGCCGTGGCATGGCAACAGCATGGTAACATGACACTCGTGCCTCGCCCCCCTCCTTTGCAGGGGGGCGTGGTCAGCTGCAGCTCATTTGCCACAGAATCAGCCCTTGCAAAAACAGGGCTGGAATACAGCAAATAGAGCAAAATGAGGCATGGCTAAAATGCATCATCTGTTTGGTATTTTGAAATAAAAACTTCACAGACATGTTTTATATAGGTATGGCCCTACAATATATTATTCAAATATAGCATGATAGGTCCACTTTAAATAACATTTGGCTGCATGTGTGTAGATATCCTATTGTTCAGCGTGCCCTTCACAATACTCTATAGTATTCATCATTTTCTTGCTCATTCTCCACACAACGACTTATCTGAATGGTGCTAGAGGAGAAATAAGAGGTGACTAATGCAGAGTTGGAGTCTGAATAGAAATAACCTGTTGAATAGTCAGGTGGTGTTTACTTAGAGAGGTTATTACACAAACACGATAATGGAAAATAAATCCAGAATAAATTATTCTTTCCCTTTCTTCCTGCATCAGAGCACTGCAGTTGAGTAATGTTTATATTCCGTTGCAGGATGTTTTCCTTTTGATTATCCAACCTCTATTACATTATTTTTCAACTTCATTCTCAATCATTACTACAAGCTTTTGTTTTTGGCATTAATGGTCAATAGACCTCCATTAAAAGCCAAATCAAACCTTATTTTGTTGGTAAAAAAAGGCAAAACAATGTATTATTTTAACTTTAGTTCAAATCAGAGGAAATGATCTTACATTTTTCTTGCAAAGAACCTAGTATTAAGGACACTCACATCCTCCAATGCATTTCTTTTAGGAGTACCGAAAGTATGACACAAGAAATCTGGATCTTAGAACAGCAAACTCCATTGGAGTTTTTAAAAGTACATTGAAGACATATATTTTTAATTTGGGGTAATTTTTGTTGTATCACTATTCATGTTCTATTGTTTTATTGTTCTGTGATATAACACTTTTCTGTTTGTTTTTAATGATGTTCGTCCATCTTTATTTTGTATCTGTAAAGCAGTTTGGGCTGCATCTTGCATGAAAGGTGCTATATAAATAAAGTTGATATTGTTTCAGACAGAGGGTGAAAAGAGGTGCTGCAGCACAGGCAGTATGAGAAAAACTAAGAGATTACATTAAAGCATGGAGACATGTCACAGTAGAGACACACAACATAAATATGAACCTGAAAATAAGAAGAATAGGGCTCCTTTAACCTGTGGTTGATGACGTAAAAATATATAGAAACTGGTCAAATTTGACCCGCAGATAACAGGACGGCGAATCTTCTCTCTCATCTCCAATGATCTCTCTCTTTCGCGCTCTTCCTCAATATTTACATTCTTCCTATTGCTCCCCTCCTCCATGATCTCCCCTCTCAGTGAGCTCCCTTGGTTTAATCCGATTGATTCCCTGCCAACCTGTCTGTCTCTCCTGTTCGTCAGTCTTCCTGTTGAGCCTGCCCGCCTCCCTGTCTGCCCACCTGTCTCTCTTCATCCCGCTGTCTGTCTGTCTTCCTATGCTTGCTCCTGCTATTTTTATCCAGTTGTTTGTGAGCCTGCACCGGGAGTGACTCAGTGTCTCTAAGCACCAGTCCACTTTCATCTACTCCCCTGCCACACACACACACGCACGCACGCACGCACGCACGCACGCACTCACGCACGCACGCACGCACACACACACACACACACACACACACACACACACACACACACACACACACACACACACACACACACACACACACACACACACACACACACACACACACACACACACACACACACACACACACACACACACACACACACACACACACACACACACACACACACACACACACAGTTCTCATCCTCTCCTTTAGATAATGTAGACTATTATTTTACAATCTGGATCAGTCTATTGATAGACAGCAGTGACAACAGATAGTTATAAAACTGACTGTCCAGAGCTTTAGGAAGTAGGTAGTGTTTTGAGGAATTGGTTATGGGCTACTTTTGTCTTCAGCAGACAGAGAAACTTTCAGACAGCGTGTCTTTTAGCATGCAGCTGTATTTAATGTGTCGCACAACTGAACAATTGGTTGCCTTGTTTGATAAGTAGTGCTGTCTATTGAAAAACGTAATTGCCCTAATCATAATAATAATCTGTGATTAATCATCATTTTAAATACCAGTATATACTGTACTTGTGTTTGGGGTATAAAACAAATACATGTTAGGTGTTGTAATAAATAAATGCTTGACAAACTGGTAAGATAAATCTGAGGGTTTTCTTTCTTATACCATGATTTCTGAATTACTTGCAGGAAGTCCAACAATTTTCAGACACTTAGCAAAAGCATCAACAAAGTCGCTGTGATCACCCTCTGTGTAATGTGCGCTACACAGGACATACTATATTATCTCTGCTGCTATCATACTCTGAGCACTATCTGTTCCCACAGTGGTGACTCGGTCCAATATCTCACACTGTGCAACTTCAAGAAACTGGTGCATGGTTTGTCAAAATATCAAAATGACTTTCCTTTGTGTCCAACATGGTAATGTAAATAATTTGCGTTGATTTATTTTTAAGGTTATATATTTATAATATATATTTATTTATACTAAATATATTTCCAGGTTTCCAGATTCAATCGACAAGAGAGTTAACACATTAACGTTGACAGACTTGGTTAAAAGGCAACGGTTTAAACAGAACACAATAAGAGGAAATAAGATGTACCAAAGGGGCAAATAATATAACTATTTTTACTTTTTATAAACTATTGTAAATATACAGAAAGTAAGAACTGAAGTAAAGCATGTATTAATTTAAAAATATTCATACAGGCTTATTATAGTTTTAGCACATATTACAATCATGTACAAGTCCCTTAGAGGATTTATTTCAAATGTGTTTGAATTAACCAAAACATATATAATTATATGCTGACATCTATTGGCAGTTTATCAACCAGTTATGGATGCTACATACCTGTAGGATGAGTTATAATTGTTAGGGAAGAGAATAATAAACACAGGGATGAGTCTTTACTAAAAAAAGATAAGCCTGGGGAGAGGTGAGGCAAAGATAGGTGATGGAAGGGTGTTAGAGGAAAGAATACGGGAGGAAGGGAGTAGAAGAAAGCAGAGAAGAGTGGGGGAGAAGAGAGGAGGAAAGGATAGGAAGGAGGAAAGCATAGGAGGGAGGACAGGATGAGAAGAGAGGAGAAGAAAGTGTAGGAGAGGAGATAGGAAGGAGGAAAGAAGGGAGAGACGGTAGGTAAGGAGAGTGTAAAGGAAAAGAGAGGAGAAGGAAAGGAGCCTGAGGAAAGAGCCATAGTAACAACAGCCCCTGCTGCCCAGAGAGGATACAGGTGGAGGGTAGAGGAAGGTGGGCGGTGTTTGGCTCCAGAAATACGAGCCTTGACTCACCACCGATTGTTGTCTCTGGGTTTTTCCAGGACACAGTTGGCCAGATTTATCACTGTGCAGGCTGGAGCTAAAATATACCCTGGAGACATATTTGCATTTAATTTAAAAAACAAACAGGGATTATACATTTCCTCAGTATGATGCATGTGTATTCTAAACACATAGCTAGTGCAGCATGTATTTGAAAAGATACACCTGTTATACCTGGATCTGATTTCTTCTCTGATACCGTTTTGTAGTGTATGTGCTTTGAAATATAAGAACACAAATCCTCTAGACAAACACTGTGTCTTTAGGATACATGTAAACAGCCTCTTTTGTAAACAGCCTCTTTTGAAATAACAGGTGATAGGGAAGCAAAAAAAAGACTTGAATATGACCTTCTCTCTTTCACAGGTGGAACACGACGACTGCAGCCCCCACAACGTGACGTTAGGTTACCACGTGACCAGTGGCAAAACCGTCTACATATCCTCCCTGGTGGTGGAGGCGCTGCACATCTACGGTTTCGACAAGCTGCTGTCGGACATCAGGCAGCACACCCCATTGGTTAAGGCCGTTCTGGTTCCTGTGGCAACCTGGATGCCTGCTCCGAGCATCCACCTGCAGCTGAAAACAGGTGATGAACCCTGATTATAATGTACAGTGGCCGTCTGGTGCAAACGTGCCAAAATGATCCAAAACACTAATATCAGGGGGAACACACTGCAGTTTAATAAAACTATGCAAATATAAAAATACAAATGTGCAAAAACATGCAAATGGAAAACATCTACACCAGCTTGACAAACATCCGCAGCATTAACTGAAAGCACTGCATAAACGAAAACTAATTAAAAAACTAATTAAATAAGCACGAACTGAGCTGTGGACACTAAAAAGTGATGCGCATAGCTGGGACCGGAGCGCTTGTTGACGATTAATGATAATAAAGTTGGCCAATTGACACTTTCAGTGGAAATTTACCGAAAATGTAAATTTTATTGGCTTATTTTAACAATGTGATCACAAGATTACTTCTGATATTATTGCAGCTCAGCTGTAAGCTAGCTAGCTAACGTAGTCATTTCAAATATACTGACAAGACATTTCTAATTATATATATGCATTATAAAATTATAAAACAGACCAACTCTTCCATTGACAGTGACAATTGGCATACTTTATAATCCCTGAACGTCAACAAGTGCTCCGGTCCCAGCTGTGTGCGTCACTTTTCAGTGTCCCAGTTTATGTTGTGTTTTGTGCTTCTTGCAGCATGTTGTGTTTGCAGCGTTTTGACGTTGACGTTCAAGTTGGTGAAATGTTTCTTCATTTGAATGTGTCTTGGCACATTTGAGTTTTTATATTTGCATAATTGTTTCCTCTCTGAAGAACCAGCACCTTACCGTGGTGGAGAGGTTTGTGTGCCCTGATGAACCTGGGGGCTGTGTTGTCTGGAATCTTGTGTTCCTGGTAGGGTCTCCCATGGCAAATCGATCTCAGGCAAGGGGAAAGACAACACACAAAGTGAGGATACCTGGCCCGGAGGAAGCCCGGGGTCGCCTTCTGGAGCCAGGCCCAGAAGGAGGACACGTCAGCGAGCGTCTGGTAGCCGGGCTTGCCACGGAGCCCGGCCAGGCACAGCCCGAAAAGGCAACGTGGGCAACACCTCCGCTTCTCCGTCCCACGGGCCCACCACCTATGGGAAACAGCGATGGGGTCGGGTGCGTTGCCAGAAGGGTGGCAGTGAAAGCAGAAGGTCTCGACGGACCAGACCCGGGCGACAGAAGCTGGCTTTGGGGATGTGGAACGTCACCTCTCTGGGGGGGAAGGAGCCGGAGCTTGTGCGGGAGGTGGAGCGTTACCAGTTGGATCTGGTTGGGCTCACCTCTACGCACAGCGTGGGCTCTGGAACCTTACTTCTGGATAGGGGTTGGACTCTATTCTTCTCCGGAGTTGCCCAAGGTGTGAGGCACCGGGCGGGTGTGGGGATACTCACAAGCTCCCGGTTGGGTGCCTCTTTGTTGGAGTTTACCCCAGTGGACGAGAGGGTCGCCTCCCTATCCCTGCAGGTTATGGGGGGGGGTAACTCTGACTGATGTGTGTGCTTACGCACCAAACAGCAGTTCAGAGTATTCGGCCTCCTTGGAGACCCTGGAAAGAATCCTGTATGGGGCTCCTGAAGGGGACTCCTTAGTCTTGCTGGGAGACTTCAACGCACATATGGGCAATGATGGAGGCTCAATCACTGGTACATTTTTATATACAAAGCCATGTTAGGGAAACTTCCATCTTATATCTGCTCCCTGATCTCACGGAAAATTGTAAGTGGCTACTGCCTGAGATCGAATGCTGTGGTTTTATTAAATGTGCCAACTGCTAGGACTGTCTTAGGGAAGACAGCTTTTAGATGTGCAGCTCCTCTGTCTTGGAATAGTCTGCAAATTAAATGGAAACTGAACAATCTGGTGCCACTAAATGTTTTTAAAGCTCGGTTGGATGCTACTCAATCGGAAGCTATAGGTACCTGTTTATGTGGATAATTTTGTAAATGATGCTGTATGATGTCCTTTTGTTGTTCTATTTATGTTTCATGTGGAACTACTTGAGCAGGTCTCCCTTGAAAAAGAGATCAATGATCTCAATGGGATTTATCCGTCTAAATAAAGGTTTTAAATGAAATGAAATGAATGATGGAGACACTTGGAGTGGCGTGATTGGGGGGAACGGCCCCCCTGATCTGAACCGGAGTGGTGGTTTGTTACTGGACTTCTGTGCTAGTCATGGATTGGCCATAACAAACACCATGTTCGAACATACAGATGCTCATAAGTTTTCGGGCATCCCTGTGGAGGCTGGGGACATTGAACCAGAGTGGGCGGTGTTCAAAGCCTCTATTGCCGAAGCCGTGGCGAGGAGCTGTGGTCTCAAGGTCTTAGGTGCCTCAAGGGGCGGTAACCCTCGAACCTCCTGGTGGACAGGGAAGCTGTCCGAGTGAAGAAGGAGGCCTTCAGGGATATGTTATCCCAGGGGACTCCCGAGGCAGTTGCAAGGTACCGACAGGCCCGAAGGGCAGCAGCCTCGGCCTTGGCCGAGGCAAAGCAGCGGGTGTAGGAGAAGTTCGGAGAAGCCATGGAAAAGGACTTTCGGGCGGCACCAAAGTTATTCTGGAAAACTGTCCGACACCTCAGGAGGGGGAAGCAGAGAACCATCTAAGCTGTGTACAGTAACAGCCTGTCCACACAGCGGCATGCGTTGAAGCTTCAACGCTTCTGCCCATTCACTTTGAATGGGGTGACGTCACGCATCGCCGAACTGCATTGTGGGAGCAAAGCGTAGCTGTTCTCGCGGTGCTCGCTGCAAAAGTTGAGCAATGTTCAACTTTTGAAGCTTCGACAGAAGCGTCAGCCAATCGAATCATATGCCAGTACAAGCTCTAGCCAATCAAACCGCTGCTTGTGTGTCCGGGGCAGGAGATTCAGGTGATTGGTTGTTGGTCTAGCTTCAGACATGCCTGCTGGCAAGTGACAACGCACGCCGCTGTGTGGACGGGCCGTAAGGATGGGACGCTGTTGACCTCAACTGATAGGGCGTTGGAAGGAACATTTTGAGGAACTCCTGAACCCGACAACTCCGCTCTCTATGGTAGAGGCATAGCTGGAGTACGCCCAGAAATGCTGAAGGCTCTGGGTGTTGAGGAACTGTCATGGATGACACGTCTCATCAACGTTGCGTGGAAGTCGGAAACAGTACCGAAGGAGTGGCAGACCGGGGTGGTGTATTTATACAGAGTACACACACTGAAACAGAGAAGTCTAAAAACAGAATGTTACTCACACAATTCTAGAAGTCACCAGTTGTTATCCTGTCAAAATCGAGTTGAAGGAAGGGTCATGACCGAAAGAACGAGATCGCTGATACAAGCGAGATGGGTTTACTCCGCAGGGTGGCTGAGGGATAAGGTGAGAAGTTCAGTCATCCGGGAGGGAGTTGAACCACTCCTCCTTTGCGTCGAAAGGAGCCAGTTGAGGTGGTTTTGGCACCTAGTAAGGATGCCACCTGGGCGCCTCCCTAGGGAGGTATTCCAGGCACGTCCAGCTTGGAGGAGACCGAGGGGTAGACCTAGGACCAGGTGGAGGGATTATATCTCTTCGCTGGCCTGGGAGCGCCTTGGGATCCCCCAGTTAGAGCTGGTTGATGTGGCCAGGGAAAGGAACGTTTTGGGGCTCTCTGCTGGAACTGCTACCTCCGCGACCCGACCACGGATAAGCGGGAGAAGATGGATGGATGGATGGATGTTTTGAGTTTTGGGCCATTGTAGTGCGTTTGCCGCTGTCGGCCACCGTGGAATAAGTTAAGATAGACCAATGTTTACATAACAGTATCCAGCAAAAATGGTAATTGTAGATGCCAAAATGCGCGGGTGAAGATGGCCGCATTGTCTTTTGGCTCCTCTCCAACTTTGACCATTTTTTCAGTGTTTATTTACTTTTTGCCGTCTGCTTTTAACATGGTTCGCAATATTTAAGACGACCGCACCAACTCTGCTATACAATATAGCAGAGAGGAACTTCTTCACATCAGAAACCTTGTGGACAACAGCCCACCGACAGACAATGGAGATCCGCCATGGCTACCTGTTGCTGTCCTACCTGAGAGACGCAAGAAGAAGACCAAGCGGGTGTCCCGTGCCGGGCTGCTGGTCAGACTGAGAAAACGAGGAAACCGACCCCATTTTCCGAGTATTCTTCTGGTTAATGTTCAATCGATTGAAAATAAACTAGATGAACTCAGAAGTCGGATTGCTTTTCAACGGGACATTAAGAACTGTAACGTGTTCATTCTCACTGAGACTTGGCTAAACCCCGCTATCCCGGCCATTGTTCCTGACGGATTCACTATTTTCCGCCAGGAAGGAACAGTTAACTCGGGGAAAAGTAAAGGAGACGGTGTGTGTATCATGATTAACAAGAACTGGTGTACAGATGTGAGGATTATTTATTCGCACTGTTCCGCTCATTTAGAGCACCTCATGATCACATGCCGGTCTTTTCACCTGCCGAGAGAATTTACATCTGTTGTGATTACAGCAGTGTATATTCCGCCGCTCGCCCACAACAACACGGCACTCGGTCAGCTGTTTTGGGATTATCGACAAAACCGAGACTTCACGGCCAGAGGCGACGTTCATTGTGGCCGGGGATTTTAACACCGCTAACATGAAGAAGGTCCTGCCGAAGTAGGCCTACTACCAACACATCAGCTGCCAGACGCGCGGGGGAAACATACTGGACCATGTTTATTCCCCTTTTCGACATGGACACGGCAAATCAGACCATATCTCACTGCTGCTGCTGCTGCTGGCTGGCTGGCTGGCTGCTGCTGTTGCTGCTGCTGCTGCCTGCTTACAGGCAGAAACTTAAAAGGGACAGACCAGTAACAAAGACACTACACGATGGAGTGAGGAGTCAGATTCAGCTCTGCAGGATTGCTTTGCATCTACGGAGTGGAGTGTGTTTGAGGACAACAACATCAACACACACACGGATACGGTCATCTGCTACATTGGGAAATGCATCGATGACGTGGTACCGAAGGTTTCTGTACGAACATTCCTAAATCAATTCTAGGATCTCC